AGAGAGAGAGAGAGAGAGAGAGAGAGAGAGAGAGAGAGAGAGAGAGAGAGAGAGAGAGAGAGAGAGAGAGAGAGAGAGAGGTCTGGAAAGGGAGGTAATAAAGGGTGGAAGATGTTACTTGGTACCCTTGACATCGCTGAGCGTTGATTGGCGCATCCGGAGTTGCCTGTTGGAAGTCGTTCGGGCCTGTTGATTGAGTCCCTGTTGATTGGAGTCCCTGTTGATTGGAGTCCCTGTTGATTGGAGTCGCTGTTGATTGGAGTCCCTGTTGATTGGTCGGGGGGTTGACAAGAAGGTAGCAGCAGTGTGAGAAGGTCAGAAAAGGTCGGTGATGGATCATCGTGCTGACGGGGCAATGATGGAGGCCGGCGAAGGCTATCCAGACTCGTTTGTCGAATCTGGAGGAGGTGGACGAGATGGTGGACAAATCTCCTCCGTCCGATCGAGATCGGGATCGGGAGGGGGCGGGGGATATTACTTGGAAGGCTTTCGAAAATTCACCCACGACTCTTCTCAGAGAAATTACCGACGGAAGGCCGACGCTACACGCTCCCCTTCAGCATCGCCAATGCACTACGGTGAGCTCGCACCCCACCTTTCTCCTCTCTCTCTATCCGCTGTCTCCTTTCTCTCTCCTTTGTCTCCTCTCGCTCTCCTTTTTTTCTCTCCTCTCTTCTCCTCGCTCTCTCCTCTCTTTCTCGCATTTTTGCTCATCCGCTACCTTTTCCTCGTCAATTATCGTATTTTGAATCTCACCCGTCCTTACTTCCGTATCCCTCTTCTCCTCTCTCTCCTCTCTCATATTTTGAATCTCGCCCTCAATCGCCATTCCCCTCTTCACTTCTCTCTTCTCTCTCCTCTCTTTCTTCTCTCTCCTCTCTCTCTACCCTCCTCTGTCTTCCTCGCATTTGCTCCACCCGCTTCCCTGTCATCGTCAATTACCGTTTTTTTTTTTTTTTTAATTGTAAGTACCGTATTTTTAAATCTTACCCGTCCTCACTTCCCTATCCCTCTCTCGCTCTCAATCGCCACTCCCCTCTCCACCTCTCTCCTCTCTCTCCTCTCTCTCCTCTCTCTCCTCTCTCTCCTCTCTCCTCCCTCTCCTCTCTCCTCTCTCCTCTCTCCTCTCTCCTCTCTCCCCTCTCTCCTCTCTCCCCTCTCTTTCCTCTCTCTTTCTTGCATTGCTCACCTGCTACCCTGTCATCGTCAATTGCGTATTTGGAGATCTCTCCCGCCCTTACTTCGCTCTCCCTCTCTCGCCCTTTATCTCCGTTCCCTTCCTTTCTCTCTCTCTTCTCCTCTTTTCTTCCTCTTCTTCTCTTTTCTCTCTTTTCCTCTTTTTTCTCTCTCTTCTCTTTTCTCCTGTTTTCTCTCTTCTCCCCTTTTCTCTCTCCGTTTATCATTCTGCTGATAGCTTGCTTCGGCGATCGCCCATGCGCGTCTTTCGTTCTGTCTTCTCTGGTGTTCTCCCGTCTTAAAAAATATTGTTTCTTTAATCGAAAAAAATAAAACTTTTTCCATGGCTGTTCCTTCTCTTCTCTTTTTTTCTCTTTTTGTCAAATCGTCAATCGGGAAAATACAGTAAAACTCCTTCAGTGGCCGTTCCCTCACTTGTCTCTCTTCTCCGTCTTAACTTCTTGTTTGTGGTCTCCGTGCAATCCCCGCGCTTTTTCCCCACGCTTTTCCCCACGCTTTTCCCCGCGCTTTTTCACCCCGCGCTTTTTCACCCCGCGCTTTTTCACCCCGCGCTTTTTCACCCCGCGCTTTTTCACCCGCGCTTTTTCACCCCGCGCTTTTTCACCCCGCGCTTTTTCACCCCGCGCTTTTTCACCCCGCGTTTTTTACCCCGCGTTTTTCACCCGGGGATTTTTCCCGCGCTTTTACCTCGCGCTTTTCCTCGCGCTTTTCCCCCAGCGTTTTTCACCCCGCGTTTTTCATCCCGGGGATTTTCACCCCGCATGTTTTACCCCGGGGATTTTTACCGCGCTTTTACCCCCACGTTTTTTCCCGCGCTTTTAATCCCGGCGATTTTTCCCGCGCTTTTACCCCGCGCTTTTCCCCCACGCTTGGCGCCTCTGTTCGAGGCGACATGTTGTGCGCTTATTGCCTTTTCTGTTTCTCAGTAGTAATAGTAATTAATAGTATGTATGTCTTCTACGTCACTTCATCCGAATAGAACGCCCGGTCATTATAGCGTGTATTTGGGGCACAACTTCAAGTCTAGTTGCAGCAAAATGACCGGGCGTTCTATTCGAGTGAAGGCGGTAGGAATCTTGCCCGTCTCCTTGTCCCAGCTCGCTGGCCCCCTTATTTCCCTATCTTCACCGATCTCACAGTTGTTACACCTAACCCGTTGAGGGGGTTCTTGTTGCCCTCTTCCCTCGAATAGAACGCACGGTCTTTCTAGCTGTATCTAGACTGGAAGTTGCCGCAAATACACGCTACAACGACCCCGTCTTCTTTTTTGTTTTTCCTTTTCCCCCATCATTATCGATCATTTTGCTTCTCTGTCCTTCCTTCATGTCCCTGGAAATCGATTCTATCCCTATCTATCCCTTTTCAAGAAAAAAAGAAATTGTCCCTTTCCTCTTCCCGCCTCCGGTCCCCCCCCCCCAAC